TGGTGTGTTGTTATGTGTGTGCGCGGCGCGCGCGTGGTACTTGTCGTGTGTGCGTGTTAGTGTGTTAGTGTGTGTGTGTGTGTGCGTGTGTGTGTATAGTGCGCTCAGTGTGCTGCAGAGCGGATCCAGAGGTCGGGGGTCCGGACCCCCCTTAGTTTACCACAAAAAAGGGAAAAAATAGCATACACACTCACTGCACGGCACGCACGACCGCCGCACGCAGCGCACACACACACACACACACACACGACACACACATTCCCTTAATATTGTCTTCCTAAAAAAATCTTGTTTAGCGCCTAAGTTTTTCTGATGAAGGATTACTTATATATGTTAAATTCGGTTATTAATAACTTAGAAATGGGCAAAGCAGGGGATTCCGCCAGGCGTCGCCGGGGGAATCCGGACTCTGATACTGATATTTTGCATTCTAAGACATCAAATTACTGCTTCAGAATGTCAGAATCGCACCATCTAAAAAAAGAAAATGGCCTTCGCAGCTTTTTAAAAGCACCAAAAAAGTAAAGCAGAAAATTTGCCCTTTATTTCTTCTGGACAACCCCTTTTCTCAAATCCTGGATAGCCGCCCACTATAGATGTGTGTGCTGTGTTGCGTGCGTGTTTGTGTGTCGTGTGTGTGTGGTGTTGTGTGTGTGTGTTGCGTGCTGTTTGTGTGCGTGTAGCTGTGTGTCGTGTTGTGTGTTATGTGTGTGTGGTGTCAATGTGTGTGTGTGTGTGATGGTTGTGTGTGTGTGTGTGTGTGTGCAATTAGCATTGTGTGCTATGTTGTGTGTGCATGTGTGGTACCGTAGCATGTGTGTGTGTGTGTGTAGTAGAGATGTGATAGTAGGGATTCGTCGTGTGTGTGTGTATGTGTGCGAATAAGCGCGTAGCCGGGCAACGTCACATATTGATAAACTACTCCATATATGCATACAACCGAAAATAGCAAACTGACATAACTTCTAAAACATAACTCCATTGCAGCGCGAACGAAGCACGCGCCGCCACTACTCGCCCACCTTCCACGTATCTGGTAATAAAGAGGAAAGCGTGCGCTTTAGCACCTCAGCACGGTGTTCATCCTGATAGCTTAGCTCAGTCCTCATAATAACATCTTAACGGATGATTAATGCGGCACTGCTAGCAATGTTCGTTGGCCAATAGCAACCTCTAGGTGGCTTCTGTAACGCCATGCAAACGAAACGTATACAAGTTGATTTTAAACGCAGTAGATGCGTCGAGCTTCACATGGCTTTCTTTGTTTCTAAAAAGAAACTATTCTTTTCACAGCAGATGTAAAGCGACACGATATTGGCACAAAAAATGTTTTCCGATAGCCAGCATCACAAACATCACATGTTATCAACATCACAGAATCACAGACACCGCAAAACATCAAAACAGTCATAAACCATAGCATTAAACATCACGAAAACATCACACTAACATCAGCAAAATCACAAACATCACAAACATCACAAACATCACAAACATCACAAACATCACAAACATCACAAACATCACAAACATCACAACATCACAAACATCACAAACATCACAAACATCACAAACATCCAAACATCACAAACATCACAAACATCACAAACATCACAAAATCACAAACATCACAAACATCACAAACATATCAAAGAAAAAAAAAAGAAACAAACATCACATAAACTATCACAAACTATCACAAAACGATACAGCAAACATGCACGAAAAACATTCAGCAAAACACCGCAAACATACCACGCGATAATAATCTTCTCGTCGTTGTAACTGCTTTGAAAACATACTGTGCGATTCAGCCAAGACATGTCTCTGATGAGACTATACGATTTCTGCTTAGTTGGAAATGAATGAAATAGATCATTGATACAAACGAAATGTAATCAGTGTTTAACGCAGTCATCGATCATGCATGCGTAGATAACGCGCAAACAGGTCTTTTGGCGCCGCTCACAGAATACGTTGTCACAGAATCGACCGATATACTTGAAACTAGGTGCGAAGGCGAGTATTCATCGGCAATGCAATGAACGCAGGTGAGTACATGCATGATGCACGGCCCACCACAGCCATTATTAAGCAAGGAAGTGCTTGGGTTCTCAAAATCGAGTTAGGCTAGCCTTAAATTATTACACTGCGTTAATCATGAATTGATAGATGCCCTGTGCCACGGAAATACATGTCGTGTCGGTCAGTACTACCTACAGGTCGTTATTCTATTCCGTAGTTTTATATATTTTTACGCATTTTGAAAATGGGTCAAAATGGAATATAACAGTACTTCCGTGCTTGAGGTGCTTTATGTAGCCGCAAAATGCCTGGGTAAAATGACGTGTTTCGTGATAGATTTTAACAGGGTTTAATCATTACTTATACTTCGTATTACTCTCTAGTGTTTTTGAAGAATATTGCAACTGTAGCCTAAGCGCTTCCGTATCCAATTCCTTTTCATAAATATTTCTACATCGAAGTCAACAATGATTGCAAATGTTACCAATACTCGTACAACTTGTACAACACCAATACTATTACAATGTAACTATATCCGATAACCTGAATCTTATAAGTAGCATGCAGGTTTATGCCCAATAACCTGTGTGTGTGTGTGTGTGTGTGTGTGTGTGTGTGTGTGTGTGTGTGTGTGTGTGTGTGTGTGTGTGTAGTGTGTGAGTGGCGGTTGCAGGCGTATTAACGCGGTAACGCAGGTGCCGTGGCGCGCGTGTGGGTGTGTGTGTGTGGGTGAGTGTGCGTGTCTGCGTGCGTTGAGCCCAACGTGCTAGAGTAATAATCCTATATCTAAGATTTCTGGCACATAATCTGTCCGAGATTAAATCTGAGAAATGACTAATTTATAGGTTAAGGTTACATATTCTACAGCTCGTAGAAAGATGTTGCTGCAAACGCTACGCGCAATGTTTAATTGATACTTATTTTATACGCACGGTGTCGTGACCGTTATTGTTATTTGCAAAAACAAGTACAAAGCTCTAATATCTTGCGCTCACAATCTAAAACCTCAATGGGCGACGCTGGGCGCACGCGGATGCAAAAACAATAGATAAAGCTAGTGTTACAGAATTCTCATATAATAGGCCACAAACCGCTGCGCATTTTTAATTGCTGTTTTGATACGCCTTAGCTTACTTATTTAGTATTCTTATTTGGGTGTGCGTTTTGTGGCGTCGTGCGTGCATACGTGCTGTGGCGGTGTGGCGTGTGCGTGTGTTGTGCGTGGCGAGTGTGCGTCTGTGTGTGTGCGCGCAGTGCTTTTGCGTGCTGTGTAGGTGTGTGTGTTTGTCTATAGCGTGGCGCGCGTGTGTGTTGGCGCGCAGGTGCGTGCAATAGTGTGCAAGAGAGCAATGGCAGGAATATAATATATATATATATATATAGTATAGTATATACTATGTGTGTGTGTGTGTGTGTGTGTGTGTGTGTGTGTGTGTGTTGTGTGTGTGTGTGTGTGTGTGTGTGTGTGTGCGGGCGTGCGTGCGTGCGTGTGTGTGCTCGGCGCGACGCGTGCATGTGTGTTAGATGAGAAATGAAGGAAATATAATATATATATATATATATAATATGTGTGTGTGTTGTGTGTGTGTGTGTGTGTGTGTGTGTTGTGTGTGTGTGTGTGTGTGTTGTGTGGTTGTGTTAAGATAGAGAGAGAGAATGAGAGAGAGAGAGAGAAGTGCGTGGCGCAGTCGTGGTGCGCGTGCGCAAGTTGTGTGTGCGTGGCGCGTGTGGTGTGGGTGTGTGTTGTGTGTGTGTGTGTGTGTGGATGAGTGTGCGTGTGTGCGTGTGTTGACCCCAACGTGCTAGAGTAATAATCCTATATCTAAAATTTCTGGCACATAATCTGTCTGAGATTAAATTCTGAGAATGACTAATTTAGTAGGTTAGGGGTTACATATCTGACAGCCGTAGCGAAAGATGTTCTCAACGCTACGCTCATTTTAATTGATCTTATTATACACGGGTGTCGTGACCCGTTATTGTTATTGCAAAACAAGTCAGCTAATATCTTGCGTCACATCTTTACCTCTGCGACCCTGCGACCGGATCAAACAATGAGTAAAGCTAGGTTACGATTCTCATGGAATAGGCAGCAACGCGCTGCGCATTTTTAATTGCTGTTTTGATACGCCTTAGCTTACTTATTTAGTATCTTATTTGGGTGTGCGTTTGTGCGTCCGTGCGTGCATGTGCGTGCGTGTGTGTGCGTGTGCGTGTGCGTGAGAGTGTGCGCGTGCGTCTGTGTGTGCGCGCGCGTGCTATTGCGTGTGTGTAGGTGTGTGTTTGTCTATGCGTGCGCGCGTGTGTGTGTGTGGGCGCGCGTGCGTGCGTGTGTGAAAGAGAATGGAGGACTATAATATATATATATATATATATATATATGATATATATATATATATATATATTAGCGTGTGTGTTTGTGTGTGTGTGTGTGATTGTGTGTTTGTGTTGTGTGTGTGTGTGTGTGTGTGTGTGTGTGTGTGTGTGTGTGTGTGTGTGTGTGTGTGTGTGTGGTGTGTGTGTGTGTGTGTGTGCGTGATTTTAGGAGCTCATTTAACAATGTTAATAGCTTTAAGAACGTATTCTCGTGTAGCCACGCGTACGTTTCACCATATACATATCTGGCTATAAATAATTCATGAATTCATCAGAGTGAAATCTATTACTTTGACATCTTAGTAAAGTAGTTAGTCTACGGTACGGATTATAGAACGGTAATCTCTTGTTTCACCCCATCGTTCTTTTGTGCATTTTCTTATCATCGCGTTACATATCTTCTAACTTCTATTTTCTCTTCGGATTTATTATATAATGTGTGCACACGTAACTCTAAGCTTGGGGCCTAGCACGACAGAGACTACAATAGCCTCAACTAAATACTACTTTCGACAAGCAACAATAGTACCGCGCCCGCTTGGTTGGCTGGGTTTCTGGGTCGAATCTTGCTGCCTGACAGATATCAATGAAACCGCACATGTAGCAGCCAACATCCATCCGCACCCGCGTTATACTCAGTAATCCATCTACCTTCACATAGCTCGGGGTCTGAACGAGCGAGCACCGCCTTCGCACTGTCTGTCGCCAACCGTAAGTATTGTATATAGTGACAGATGGAATCCGGTACAGGGATAGACGATATATGCGAGATATTGAGAAGTATAGAACGATAGATGTAGGAGGTGAATGCGAGTGTAACGTGATCAACAGATATAACATATATTCAGTTAGTGTCTGGTTATTCATTATAACAAGATTATAACTACTACACCTAAATTGGTTTCATCGCAAGAATTTTATTGTAGTCTCGTTTAGCTGTGTCTGATTTAAATGCTAAAATTCTATGGGACTATGATATAATGACGTAATGATTCGGTTGGATCGCCAGATCATAAATGAAATACTGGGTGTACGTATGCTACCGGTCAGCGAAGGTAACACATATTGCGCCTGTCAATATACGTACTCACGTACGTGCAAAAAATGCGCACATGTGAGTGGTGGACCCATGTAAGTTCCTTTTTCGCTTTTATTCTACAGAAAATCGGCCCAGAGAGTTCGCAGCCATGAGGATCATATTAGCAATTACTTTGGTGAGTCAATGCTCTCCTTTTTGGTGACCGCGCATATTAGTGTTTACTTGGCAGACGCGATGCTCACAGTCGAAGATGCATATTACGGTTTCATGCACAACGGATTTCTTAGCACTATTGTACTGCCAAGCTGTTTCGCGCTTGTTAACCCATATATATTTTTCGTGACCTTTTCTGTATCGGATCGTTGTCCTGCGTTCTACAACGAACAAGCAACAACAGCGAAGCGACTAAACGAGATTGTACCCCCGCGCGCGCGTGTGTGTGTGTGTGTGTGCGTGCGTGCGCGCGCGCGCGCGCGCGTGTGTGTGTGTGTGTGTGTGTGTGTGTATGTGTGTGTGTGTGTGTGTTTGTGTGTGTGTGGTCATCAGTATCGCGAGCAAGGTGGACCAATAACATAATTGCTCTCCCGTGGGATTATGTCCAACGTTGCTTTCTGCACAAGATGTAGCGGCAGATAGCGGTGCGCTGTCCCAGTATGCCTTGCGACGATTTCAATTACCATTTCAGAACGTTCATGCAATTAGGAATGAATCGTCGGATGCCGTCTGTAGACCTATTAGTAGCGCTGTTTTAGCGCTCCTGTTTCCTGCCTTCTCATTTCCCCACATTCACCTTACAAATTATTCAGCCACGGACACCATTAGTCAGCCAGTGGACATCATCTTCCTGTGTTCACCTATATTCTTTTCCTGGTCATTAATACTTGTCAGAAGAGATGTGTCGAAAAGGAAATTAGATACATAGCAGGCGGTCATCATAAATATTAATATGTGCTCTTTATATATATCTATACATATATATATATA